GGACAGTGAAGTTCGAACTCAGGAAATGGATATAATAGATCAGCATTCCCAAGGAGAGTCTGTAGAACTTAAAGTCCCTTCTGTCATGCTGTGCAACCAAGTCCCATACCTGAAGAGGCAATCTTGTGTATCATATAATGCTTAATGAACTAGATGGCTCTTCCACATATTTATTAGAGGGACCCCTGCTGTTAGAGCTGCAGATGCAGCCATCCCCTGACCATGTGAACTATGATGTGGGAGGGGACCTGTTTCTGCTAGCTGAGTACACAGAGTAATTAATTCCCACCTTTTGATAGGGGATTGCATAATTCATTTTTCCAGGTTCCTTGTTTTGTAAAAAACAGCTATCAGTCCTCTTACCTTTCCAGAGGTGGTATTTTGAGGCATTTTCTTAGTGTGCACATACATCTAGTCTGTGCCTACTTTGTTCTCTAGAGTTAGAAGAACCTTGGCAGAAATGAGGGAGTACAATCTCTTGGGTTTGATGGAATTTGTAACTGACCTTGACCTAGAAGCAAGGTACAATTTAAGTACCATCTTCACTTGATTGAAAACACAGAGGCCTCCTTTCACAGAGAGAAGCTCTAGTTTCCCAACCTCCTAGCCAAATCTAGGGCTTCCAAAAAAGTTCTCTTCCACATGAAAATGTTATTGGGGATCAGACTGATAGAACTGAAATAATCAGTTATCACAGCCCTCAAAGTAAATGATAAGTCCATGAGAAGAGACAATCAGTCAATGGGGGGAAGAAACTTGTACTTCCTAAGAAGTGATGCAGGTATGGGTGGCCAGCTATAACCTCAGCTATTGAGGAGAATGGGCAGTCCATGTTGAATGGCTATGTAATGTATTGACTACAAGGGTCACTCCAGTCCTGCTTGTACTTATAGGAAATTCAATAGCTCTGGGACTTTAGTTGCTGGTGTTGCAGGCCTTTGTCTTTTGCAGTGCCAATCAATTGCTGACCAAGTCGTTTGTTAGATTTTGGTGGTGGCTGAGAGTTCAGAGGCTAATATGAACTATATTGCAGAGGTTGAAAGGCGTTCAGTTTTCAGGCACAAACTTATATCCATGCTGATGCTGGATATAGAACTAGTTCTTGGGACAGAATGTCTGAGCATTTCAAGAATTAGCATAGGGATTTCTTGCTCATCTCCACTACAGAGATGATCTCCTGGGCTCAAACAGGGTGATTTGTATCACCTGTATTCAACATCTTTACCTTGTTTACTTCTTTGGATGTGTAGAATTCTGTCTTCTCCACTCAATGGTCTTAGAACTGGAAGAAGCCATTCACATGTCTATTATCTGCTATTATGAAGACATTGATTGAGGAAAATCTTATCTTGTGAAAAATATCCAGATGTTGTTCCAATTGTCCCTGAGACAAGCATTGGCAATTCAGCCAGTTGGCTATAGTGTTCAATTATATCTTTATGTATTGTACTGACATGGACAGTAGGTGTTTCTCTACTTGGTGTCAAAATAGTGTCCTTATGTTATGACCTTTTTCTACAGGCCCTTTGATCAGGATCCACCTTGGTTGTTGACATAGACTTTGGACATAATATTTCTATCCTCAGGTAGTAGGTGCCACCCACTTATCTGGTTGGATCATATCTTCAGATTTAGCTGTACTTCTTAACACCAGTTAGTTTATAGGCAGTGCCTACTTGTGAGAATCACTGCATTATCCTGTCTTGAAAGTGGGCTCCTCACTGCGCTAGACTGGTTCTTGTGGACATTTGATATCTCATTGGCTGTAGCAGATTGGTTGGGATGAGCCACCAATGCAATTACTAGACCATCTCGTTTGGCACTGGTGGGATATGCTGGCAAACTGGTCCTGGAGTGAGAGAAGGAGCAACTGGAGTAGTCTGGAGTAGAAATAGGCTCATGGTTTTGAGTCCACATCTATGGCCATAATCTCACATTCTTGCTTGCATCTGGAGGATCAGCAGTTGGTAATGCCCAGTGCCCTGTCTATTGAAAAGGAGATATTCCTTTTGGTGACTTGCAGAAAGCACAGTTTGGTGCTCCACTCAACTCCTTTATTTTGCTCCAATGCCTCTGGATGCCATTATCCCTTTTTCCATATACATCTGGTCTGCTCAGTCTGTGTGACTGTCCAGTCTTCTCCCAGTCCCTGCTTCTTGGCTGTCACATGGCCTCATTACTGTAACTTCTTTGGGGCATATTGATCAGATGAGTTTCTGTCTGCTGAAGTTACCCCCTGCCCCAACCACATGTGGCTCACAATGCTGGTACTGAGATTTGGTACTGTTACTCGTGGTCTCCATTCTTTTCATGTTTTGTTGTTAAATACTATTCTCAGTATTTAAAAAAGAAAACTTATTGTTTCTTCCTAGAAGACAGAACTAAAAACTGGAGGGAGGACTTTCCTTAACAAAATAGGAAGGAAATTTAAGCCCTGCCTTCTAGCTAGAAGAGGTGGAGCAGTCAGTTTCTAGTCATTCGCTGCAAGATCAGATCCCATATATAATATATTTATATGCATAGTTTTACACTTGATAACAAGGAACTGGGTTTATAATTTTCTTCTGTATACCTTAAAGCCTCAGCATATCTTTGGAGTTCTTATTTTAATGACCCTAAATAAAGTATCCCCTTTAAACCTGGCACCTCACTCATCACCTCTAAGTACAGATTCTTTGCAAACTAATAAAAAATACTGATCCCAACAGAGATCCTAGGAGACTGCACTCCACACCACAAGTACTCTCTATGCATTTCTTTAATCAGTTACTTGCATCTTATCCCATGACTCCTGTGTTTGCTCAAAATTATCTAACTTTGTAACAAAGTTGTTTTGTTTGTGAACAATAATCCATTCCATTTCCTTGTTTACTGATGGTCCCAGGTGAGCTAGGGAGAAGATAGCAGAGGAAGATGTGACAGTGGAAATGCTCTGTGATAAGTTTCTTCTACTGTTTTATTCTTCATTGTTTAAAAAGTTGTTATCATAGCCATATTGGTCCATAATGGGAAGAATAAAAGGACATGCAAGGTTTTGAATTAGCTAGATAAAGATAGTTGATATTTACCTGATGAATAGGTTTGGAAATTTTACATGCTCTTTTCTGTCATTTGGTTTTTCTATTTTCTATTGCCCTGAAATAAATTGTGACTAATCTATGGGGCCATGTTATATATTATATTTTTGGTATATGCCAAAGGGGTTTAACATTTCTTAATGTAGCAAATATATGTTTGCAAACTCATGAACCATGTAGGTACATGAACTTGGTCAGGAATTGTGACTGATTACATCTTCCTACTGAACATAGTCATGACAATAAACTTATTCTCTGAATAAGATGTGAAATGGCCCAAAGAGATACAGAAGTCTACAAGCTGAACAAAATGGCTCAGGAATAGAGACGGCCTACTATGAGTGCAACATTTGTTATGTGATAATGCTGCCACGCATTGAACATATGAACATGACTTCATTTTTCTTGCACAAATTACCAAGACAAGTTGCTTGTGTGAGTAAAAATATTTGGTTCAAGGACCAGCATTTTGGGTCAATCATAGCCCTTTCCTAGATAAGTGGTTAAACTTCTGCCATACAAGTTACAAGGCAGATTATGATTTATTCTTCTTAGGCCAAGTTCTATGTTCCTCCCAGT